TTTACACACAAATGTTTGAGTGTGTGTTTTATTTTTTCAAACATAATCACTGTTGTCAAAAACATGTTTGAAACATAGCGACCACCTAAATCCCATGTCCTTCCCTTGATGAGAGTTTATTTATTTTCACCACTAAGAGTTGCTCTGTGATTGGTCCTCAATACTTGTCTTTAAGTGAAGACTTAAATTCATTTTAGGAAAAGTTACTAACTATTTGAAATGGTTTGAAGAATCTTGCGGAACACAGGAACAGAATTCCAGGGTCACCATGGCTCCTCCTTAGGGGCAGGATGGCAGCATCTTTCAAATCAAACAATAACACAAGCGGACCATATAGCTTTTTCCATTATAATTTCACTACAGACGGTTTTGAGGACATGTAAAATTGCTTGCAGGAAATAAAAGACTCCCAGAAATAGAAGGAAGTGGAACAACAAATTTACAAAATGGAAAATATTAGGTGGGATTGATATAAATAAATTGAGTCCATATTATGTGTTTAACAAGCCTTCTGAAGTTCAAATTTCTCACATGATCAGACCAGAAAGGAGAGATTTTCTCAGTTTATTACTTTTAAACATTGGATTCATTAAAGAAAATATCCCATAAAGTGGAATAAATAATGATTGATCAATCTTTGTTGTTATCATACTGTATATCTTTAACTTATAATTTAGGGACTGTTTTCTACCTCCGAGTCTGAGTCTTAATGGAAAAAAACAGAATCAACTAACAATTAGTAGCCGTAAATAAGATCTCACAAATCACAAATTGCTCTAATGCCTTTATTGTGTGAATGAAGGAAAATGTCACATGTATACATGGATTGCAATGGCTACCTTAACATTTATTTTCCTTTATAGAGATAAGTTACATGAAAATACCTTAGATTAATAGCATGTGCATCAGTGGTATGACAAGTTTAAAACTAACAAGTACTTTGTCACAAATACATACCACCAGATCTGTATCCCAGATCTGTATACAGTCATTATGATTACAGGACTGAAAATGTAAACAATGTAAACATTAAAACGAAATGTGCACATCCAAAAAGAGCTGATTCTTGTAGAGAAATTGATCATGCATTTTGGATATTCTTTCCCTGATAAACACACAGATAACTGCAGCAACTACATCACTTCTTTATATTGTGAGTATCATTTAAAAATACCGTAATGTTCAATACATTCTCTTAGACTGACACATGTGGTCAAAGCTGCATTCCAAATGTGATGCTTGTCAGATTGTCTCCTGGTCATGTCTGCCATATCTCCTCTTCTGTTACAGTTGATAGACCCCTCACAACCCAAACTGGATAAGGCAGGGGCATAAAAGTGGATGTATGGCTAAATGATCATAATAGGAGTCCTTTATAAATACAACAACTTCTGGAAATATGAAACAACAACAAAAAAAGTGGAGCTTCTGGGTAGTTTTACACCCTTCGTTTTGCTTCAGCTAGTGAGTTAAACTAGTTAGATTGTTTCATCATAAGGCCTCAATAGAAGGAATGAAGACTAAATTACAAAAAACAGCCGCTTGAAGTTTTAAATACATTAATGCTAGATCGGCACTTGATCATTACTGGCACAGGTAATAACAGATATGACATATAACATAAAAGACTTTAGCTTATTGTTTTGGTTTTGCATCGGACGTTTAGATCTCTTGTTTCTGTTTAGCATGAGACGATAACTGCTTTTTAAAGTGCGACAAAACCGGGGAGGTAGACTCTCTAAGGGGGAGTCTCCACTGCTACAGAAACAGCCTGTGCTGCTATCTTTATCGGGACGTTGCTCCAGGTGCTGATGTATGGAAACATCCTGTCAGTAAATGTCTCTTTGAAGGTGTATATGTGTGCGTTTGTTTGGGCATCGTAATACGACAGCTCTCCTCCGTCGCAGTCCAGGACCAGTCTGATCCTCTTGGGGTTCTTCATCACAGACACATCGGTTCCGGTGTCTGATGGTGAAAGTATTTTGTATTCTCCACCGCAGAACATCAGCTTCCACAGTCCAGGCCATATGACTCCTTTCCTGTCGTTTGACTCACTGAGCACCCCCAGAACAAAAGCATTGTTGTCTCCTACCTCCACCTCCCAGCTGTGGCGCCCCGAGTCAAAAGCCTCTGAGCCTATCACAGATACAAAGTGGTCGATCCTCTCTGGATTCTCGGGCAGCTCCTGCTTTTCGTCTATCTCTCTCAGACTGTTTAGATCCTCGGACACGATGAGCTGTGGATGGGCTGTGTTTGGATCCAGAATCACGGGACTGTACGACACCACCTCCTTCATCTTGCTCCACACGTTAAAGCTCAGGTTGCCCAGATGCTGGGTCACATCTATCAGAGCTCCGGATTTGAACTGAGGGTCTTCAGGCAGAGGCTGCTGCTGGACTCTTTCTGCTGCAGCCTCGCAGCTCTGCAGGAATGAAACATCTTTAGCTTTCAGCTCCTTCTCTGTGGCTCTCACAATATCTGATAGAGCCGTGATCTCTCTGTTCAGAGCCCCAATCTTCTCCTTCATCAAACGACTCTTCTTTTCCTCCTCCTCCCTCAGTGCAGTCAGCCTGGCCTCCTCTTCCTCCTCTAGAAACTGACGAAGTCTCTGAAACTCCTCCTTAATCCTCCTCTCTGTGTTTTCAGCCTGAACTTTAATGTGCTCTGCTGTTTGATCGCAATTTCCTTTCACTTGACGAATGACCCTCAGTTTCTTTTTCACGGGCTTTAAAGAGTCCCGAAGTGACTTCTTTCTCTCCTCAGCAGCTTCCCCTGTGGGTTGTACTGTGTGGTTGCTGTGTGTTTCTGAAT